GTAAAGAATTAATAGGAATAACTTATTATCACCCTTATTATAAAAATATCCAAGGACAAGTAGTAGACGGCGAAGAATTTATTCAAGAAAACGAAGGAACGGGCTTGGTCCACCTCGCTCCGACTTTTGGAGCCGAAGATTTTATCTTGGCTAAGAAAAAAAAGGAACTTTATTATAACACTTACTAAAAAATTTATTTTCTCCTCACGGCTCCAAATAATTCAACTAAACAAGCAACAATTCGCGTAACGGTTTTTTCTATTTCTAATTTTTTCCAGAGTTTTAGTGGAACTTTGAAAAACTAAACGAAAACTGACCGATTTTTTTTTCCTTCTTTAACCAATTCCGGGTTTTGGTAAATATCAAAAAATACTTACTTGACGCAAATCTTCTCCTCCTACACTCTTAATTTCCTTAATAACTTCATTATAATTGATATCTTGGGCAAAAATAAGCGACAAGTCTTTTTCACTAGTAGGAAAATTGGAAACGGGACAATGAGAAACCGTGCGGGGAAACTTAGTCAGAAAATGAAAAATTTTAGTTAAAGAAATTTGGGCTCAGAGTATTGGTTTTTCTTTCCCCTTGTTGGTTAATCCTAAGTAACCAATTATTTTTCGGTCGAGAGAAATTTCGGCTATTCTCGCCTGGCTATTACTACTAAATCTAGTCAATATTTCGAAAAAGAAGTCAATTTAACTGGACGAGCCTTTTCCTCTTTCTATTACTTAATTTCTCTTATTCAAAAGTTAAGTAGTCAAGACAAGACAAAGATTGAAATTACTTCGACTTACCTTCCTGCTAAAAAAAAGAAAAAACCTCTTATTGCCATTAGTGAAAATTTTATTAGAGGCAAAGTCGGTTGCTCCATTTCTTCTCTTTGATTAGAAGAGACCTGAAAAAAATTAAATTTTTCTTTTCGCAAGAAAGGTCCAATTTACTATTTAAACCCTCCTTTTTATCGTTCTGATCTGACTAGGGCTGAGGACCTAATAGAGGAGATACTACGAATTTACGATTACAATAAAATACCGAGTTCTCTACCGACTTGGCAAAAAGTAAATATTAGTAATCAAAATAATTTTTTTTGGTCCAAAAAAAAAATTCGCACCTTTCTGGTTAACAACGGCTGACAAGAAATTATCAGTTATTCTCTGATTTCCGAAAAAGAAAAGGAAGATTTTCTTCCGCCCGCCCAGGACTTTTATCAATTTTTGTTTCCTAAAAGTGAAAATCACCT